GCACGTCGGCAGTACGTTTATAATTGGTTAGTCGAAGAATAATAGGGCGAAAAATATTCGTATAATTTCCCATACAAGCGAAAGTCGATCAGCTCATTCGGTTAAATTTATGTTTACCTATAATCTGAAGTCTTAGGAAACGAGCCCGTAAAGGCGTAAACCAAAAGATGTTAGATCCTTGTTTACCCGTATTCAGAAAACGTTTACTTCCACGTTGGCGGGGTAAGCTACGCGGGGTCTGCTGGTTTATCCCGCCGAGCGAAATTACAACTAGTCCGCCGACAGCGCTGTCGGCGTAGAATATTCTAGAAGCGTCGCTCACGCCTCATGGTATTTTCGTTCGACGGTCTATCTCCAGGCCTAGTCAACTTATAGCTGTGAATTCGATGACTTTGATATTAGTTCAGAAGAGAAACAATCGCTACGCTAGGGTCGTATCTCATGGAACAACTGACTAAAATTTAGCATTTATGTTCGTTTACTCCATGACAGAAGAATTTTATAACCTCATAAAAGTGAAATATCAAAACATCGCATTTTGCTCCACCGCGTTCTCGAGTTTTGACTTCCCTTGCGATTTTCACGTTTTTACCAAGTTTTACCAAATTTCTTTGCATTTTCAATATTATATTTTGTTGTTACATAATTTTTGAATTATGCCATCCAACAAATGCTGTGTGTTGGGCTGTGAAAGTGGTAATTCGGTTAAAAAACATGTTTTTCCTACGGAAGACAATGACTTTGCCACTTGGGTTTCAAGAACTGGAAACGTAAAATTGGAGGCTCTTTCCAAGTCGGATGTGAGGAAAACATACTTGATATGTACCAAACATTTCAATAGTTCCAACTACAGTTGTGGAACTTTTCGACTGAAGAAGGGTTCATTGCCTACCGTTTCATTACCATGTATGTATTATTATGTTTACTTGGTTATTTTATTACACGAACAGCGAATACGCTGAACGCCAGTCGTCTGTTTTGACCTTAAATAATAGTTGCGTTAATAAAACTTGTTACCTACATTATAAGTGTGTATTACTATCATAATGGTATTAAATATTTAGAAATAACTAAATATGAGATTGGCGAACCCGGACATTTCGCCGCGACCGATTCGCCGCAGACCATTTCGCCGCAGACCGTTTCGCCGCTGTACCATTTCGCCGCAGACCGTTTCGCCGGCGCACCGTTTCGCCGCGGACTTTTTCNACAACTGACTAAAATTTAGCATTTATGTTCGTTTACTCCATGACAGAAGAATTTTATAACCTCATAAAAGTGAAATATCAAAACATCGCATTTTGCTCCACCGCGTTCTCGAGTTTTGACTTCCCTTGCGATTTTCACGTTTTTACCAAGTTTTACCAAATTTCTTTGCATTTTCAATATTATATTTTGTTGTTACATAATTTTTGAATTATGCCATCCAACAAATGCTGTGTGTTGGGCTGTGAAAGTGGTAATTCGGTTAAAAAACATGTTTTTCCTACGGAAGACAATGACTTTGCCACATGGGTTTCAAGAACTGGAAACGTAAAATTGGAGGCTCTTTCCAAGTCGGATGTGAGGAAAACATACTTGATATGTACCAAACATTTCAATAGTTCCAACTACAGTTGTGGAACTTTTCGACTGAAGAAGGGTTCATTGCCTACCGTTTCATTACCATGTATGTATTATTATGTTTACTTGGTTATTTTATTACACGAACAGCGAATACGCTGAACGCCAGTCGTCTGTTTTGACCTTAAATAATAGTTGCGTTAATAAAACTTGTTACCTACATTATAAGTGTGTATTACTATCATAATGGTATTAAATATTTAGAAATAACTAAATATGAGATTGGTATACTAGGATATTTGATACCACTTATGATTTTTGTATAATTGTTTAACTTACTGTTATAAAGTATACTTCGTGTACTAAATATACTTATATTTATTGAATTTTTAATAATTTAACCTGGTTTATTTCTAGCTATAAATTCACCCAAGACTCCATTAGATGGCCATGAACATCCATTTTTAAATGAGTCAATTGAATTTGTGGATGTTAGTAGTTCGTCACCATTGGATTTACCTATTAACGATTCACCATTAGGTAAGAATTAATATACAGGGTTAACTTAACCTATGACTATAATTATTCTGTGCAATCTCAACATAATATCAAAAATAATTACTATGTCTACAATATTTATTGTTTTTTGTTTTATTATTTATTCTTATATAATATGTTCCTGTGACTATTTTTATTAAGTTTTGTAATGTAAATTGATTGTAAAAATAAATTGATTTATTTACTAATTTGTGTTATGGTGTTTTTTTTATATTTTTAATTTGAATAATGAAAAATGAAAATTTAATAAACATTTAGTATCGATAATGATAGTAATCAATAATAATATCGATTATATGCACTATCGATTATATGCACTATCGATTTTTGTTGCAAAAGAGGTTCAATCGCTGCGCTAGTGTCGCGCTAGTATCAAAAAACGGGGCGAGTTGGCATTCTATATATTTGTTTTCTATGGTCTATCTCTATCGCCTTCGCCTATTCTGTTGACTGTTCAATAATAAATAATAATAATTATTGATTTTTCAATAATAATTTTTATATTATACTTATCTATGGACTGTTCCATGAATCATGATGCTGAATTGCTGACATACGGACCGTTAAAGCCGTTATAGCTGTTATAGCCGTTGCCGTTAAGTGTTGAATTTTAGAAATTAAATTATAAGAGACGCTGTTTGTTTTTGCACTAATTTGCCCAAATCGCCAGTGCCATTGGAAAATCATAGCAGATTACACTTAACTATACAGTTGTAAGTACCTACCTATATTATATAATTATTGTTTGAATATATTATGGTTAACTATAAACTTAAAATTTAAATAATATTTTACTGTATCTATAAATAATCTAAATACTTATTAATATAGAATTATTAAAATTTTGGTAAAGCAGATAACAATAATATGGTAATTAAGAAATGGAAATATATATTTTTTAAGTGTAGTACGATAACATTTTTTATATTACACTAACAACTTAACAGCTATGCAAGGAACAAATGCACTTAACCACGCCACTCACGAATTTCAAAATTTTTATCAACTACTAGTATACGTATAC